AACTGCAACCAGAATAATAAAATGGGATTAAGAATGCTAAAAACCAATACTTAATCAGAACTCTTAATTCCAAAACAACAGAATTAAAGTTAGCAAAAGACAATATGATCCAAGATTCCAAACCACTTTAGAAAATCACAATATATTAACTCCAAAATCAATACAAATGTCATAACCACAACATTATAATTGAAATTAAAGTTATAAACAGTCCAATGTCAAATGCTAAACAATAATCCAGTCGCAATAATCTCCAAATATAATCAGATTAAACAATAAAAATTTTTTAATAATCAAAATAACTGTCCTAAGACCTAGGAATTGTTAAACAATTATTAGACAGGAAATTAAAGTAACTAAACTCTCCTTTAATGATCCGAGCTCCTGCTATTGTTGTTGAATTAGAGAATTATTAAGCTCTAGTCACGGTTTGCCATCAAAAATGCCATATTCAGAACTTTGCTACAGGATTCCATGAAAGAGACGTGACGAAACAGTGCAATGAAGGATGACGCTGCCCAGCTCCCTGTTTTCTGCCTCTGCTCGTCGATAGTTCTGTCACGCTGAGAATGGAAGGAATAGAGAAGTCAACGATGATGGTCACGTCGCTGGTCACTCGCCTCTGTTTGCTGTCGCGCCTCACTCCTCTTTCTTTCTTTCTTCTTCCCGCTGTCACTCCCTGTTTGCGTCGCTGGTTCTTTGTTTTTTTCTTTTGTCGCCGCCCGCTCGTCCCCTCCTGAATGAAGGTGATGATGAATGAATTATATAGGATATTATGTTAGAGACAAAACGTTGCGTTTTGCTCTCTCTTTATTATTATATTATTTATTTATTTTTATTTTTTTCTTCTTTTTCTTTTTTTTTTAAATTGTCTTTAAAAATCAATTAATCATAATTAAACCAAATATGACAATTTTACTCCTAAAATTAATAATTCAAAATAAAATATAATAAATCAATTAACAATCAATTAAGACAAAAAAAGATCAATTAAGTTAACAAAACTCATATAAAAGACATCAAAATATATAAAAATAATTGAGTTTGTCACTCTCTCCTCCTCTTTTCTCCCCTCTCTTCCTCTTCCCTCTCCCCTCTCCCTCTTTTATTCTATTTTCCTTTACCATCTAACTAACCCATTCCTCTTTTTCTTTATTCTTCAATTAATTACCTCTCCATTTTTTCAACTTTCTTTACTACTCCCATTTTTTTCACCGCCATCCGTCCTTTCCTCTTTTTCCCTCTACAATTAATACTTTTCCCCTTTTTCAACTTTCAATTACACCACCCCCACCTTTCCACCGTCGGTAAAGGGGTGGATTTTTTAAAATTAATAATAATAATAAAAAAATATTATTATATATATATTACATTTTTCTTTTTAAAAAAAAGTATGTTACATCATGTGACTGCCACCTGCCACATCCCTCACCCCTACCACCATGTCATGTCGTCACCACCTGCCAACTTAAAAAGGTACTGTTGATAGCCTGCCTTTCAAGACTTTCAGCAGTGATTTTGAAAGTCACTGATAAAAGTCTGATTGAATTTTAGGAGCAACTTTTTTTTGCAGTTGCTAAAAGTGCTTTTTTTTGGGTAGTGTATTGTACTAGAGACAAATGTCATGTGTTATTTCTGTTCATATATGTTGGGCAGCTTCTACATGTGTGTACTTAAATTGTCCATTCCAAAATTGGTTGATCAATAATGGAGCTTAGTGCATAAACAATGGTTTAATCAAAGACTGTTACTTACATGTTGGCAATGTACCGTGAGAATTTAAGTTGCAAAGATTATAAATTTTTAATACTAAGGTTTTGCATCATGATGTAGTGTTCAACCTATTTCTATATGTCCCGATGAGCAAAGTCGCTCTACCATGTTTTTTAGTGATAAAAATTAATGATGGGAATTCCGTCTCTTAAAATTTTGTGACAAAAATTAATAACGGAAGTATTTCATCATCAAATATTTAGTGATGGAATTACCTATGAATTATAATGAAATTTGGCAATGGAATAATTCCATCACTAATCTATGGATAAATTTAGTAAATAAATTTTTGTTAATAATCCATTGAAAATTAGTAAGGAATTTTTTATTACTAATTCCGGAGCATCTAGGGAGCGAACTCGCTCTACATTATCTTAATGACCAAAATCGTTTATTAATATTATATATATATATTTGGTTATATTGATGGAGTTGAGTGCTGTGAAGAAGATGCTTTGGTTCAGATCAAAAAAAAAAAAAAAAGAAGATGCTTTGGTCAACAAGTTAACTGAAATTCGGTACGCCAGCAAGTTGTCGACAGAAGGATTACGTACAAGTTAACTCAAATAATGTTAAAGTTTTACAATGCTGCATGCAGATCAATTTTGCTTAGAGACCAAATGTTAAAAGATCAATCAGTATAGTTCCCAAGTTAAATATATCGTTACATTAAGATGGACAAAAACAAGTATTGCTATACTTGAACACCCACATGACTTGTTTTTGTGCCATATTAAAAGTTCAGGTTACTAAGTTTCGTGAGCTTACTAACATCAAGACATATGTCAACACTCAAAGAATAAATAGAGATATTTACATATTATTGCTCAACAACGTAACAAGATCCTTGAAGAATATTAGGAGTCACATATTTACTAACTATACCAACATTTATTGATTACATGGAGCTTTCTCTTAGTTATGTGATAATTTAGAGTACCAATTTGAGTTTTATTGGATCCAACGGCAAAAAGAGAAAGAACTTGAATAGAAAAGAAAGATAATTCATATTTAATCTAAACCATGCATATACTGAGAGGTAGTAAAATAGAAGTAAATTACGCTTTTGACCCAATAAAAAAATAGAAGTAAATTATGAAGCATATTGTCTATATATTATTTTGGCTTAGTTGCCAGTTTTCTACATATAAATTCATTTATTACATCTATTGTTAGGCTTTAAACCAACAATAATTATTCATTTTATTCAACTCTAAATGTCCAAAAAGTAGACTGCGAATAAATTATGAAATCTCGTCGAACTAATGGACAAAATGGCACACAATTTGGCTTTTATGATTATAGCCAATATTCAAAGCACCAATAAGAAGTCAACACAACCTTCCTTCTATGTTTCCATATTCATGTGATTTAACGTTCCTTATAAATAACACATAATTGTGAATGACTTGTTTTTTTTTTTGACCATGTCATTGTGAATGACTTAAGATCATATCTTTGTAAAGAAGAAAATCCGCCATGATTATCCTCCAAATGTCTACCGAGAATGGCAACTCCAATGAATGAGAGAGAGGATATTTGTGTCTTTTTTTGTTTTTTTATGAATGCGGATATTTGTGTTTTTGTCAGCTGGAAGAGTAAAGGTTAAAACCCTCCCAACAAATGCGCTTTGCGAGATTCAAACTTATGTTTTTCTTTTTACGGGAAATGAGACCGTTTACGATCTCAACCAATAGCTTGTTTATTAATATTTGCCTCTCTGAATTATTAAATAAAAAAGGCTCTCCTTTCTGCCAAATATAGCCTTAATTATGGGCACATACCTATTAGAAAATATATATAATACCTCTTGTTCTTAATATGAAAGTTAGTTGGTGATTAGATTTAGTTCTAAATATAATATCTCAATTTACTCTGTCTTTTAAATTTTTAATTTATTCTCCAAAACATTCTATGCATTGTAAAGGGGTTCCGCTATGGGATATTTCTAATACATATAATTAAAAATGATAGTTTAGGAAAATCAATATATCTTTATTACAAATAATCAGCTTAACTAATTTTGTTAATATCTTCAAATTAATTATCTAGCTCTTATATTAAAATCTAACAGTTATATATATATGTGTGTGTGTGTTTATTTATTAAATCAATCAAATCATCTATGTTTAATTAGTTATAAAATATTTTATTAAAAATTCATAGCCTTCTTAAAAATTACACATCTAAAGGAGCTCTCAATTAAAAAATTCAAGCATATTGCATCACCTTTTTATTCTAAGAAAAAGTCATGCAGCGAAAATTATGGGAAAAATTAATCTTTTCTTTTTGAAGTTTTGACTTCCTTATAACTTAGTACTTAAACTTTTGACTTACCTAAAACTCAATCCCTAATTTTTTTTAAGGTTAAGGTACAATTTTAACAATCAAGTTTTACGCAAATAGCATCTGGTACCATTTAGTTTTAGAGGGTGCAAAAGTAACCATAATCAGTTAAAAATAGAGCAATTCTCCTACTTCCGTTAACTGATCCAAACGTTCGTTATTTTTAATTTGGTGGGTCCTACTTTGACATCCACATCATTTATAGTATCCAATGGAAATTCTACAACTACCGTCCGTAGGTCTCATAGATTTTTCTCTTATTTTCTCTTTAGCCAAGATCCCCTTCCCTACCACCCATCTCTCTCTCTCATCTGTTAACATTATCTTCGACTTCTTTCATTCCCAAACATGCGGCTGCTAAACAGGGGAAAACAAGGTTCCTAATCAAAAGCCATATAATCTTCTATAAATACTAATAATTGCAACCAAAGTACAATGGTCCAGCTATACAGGATAAACAATATAAATCATCACCAACCAGAGTGTTCATGATCATCATGTACCCAAAAAAAATCCGTTCATGAAATGCTTTTTGGGCATTAGAGCTTTGCCATTGATAAACGCAAGAAGGATGAAGCCGCTCTATCATGACTTAACACGAACGATACATGGACGGCGAGATCCGCGAAGGACGAGAATGGTAGGCAGCAACGCTGGCGAGGATGGGACTTTGCGGGTATGATTCAGGTTTCAAACTTCAACCAGTAGGATTATACCCATAGAACACCCACTCTAACTAGCTTGGCGATGAGATGGCCGCTGAGATAGAAGACGACCAACGACTCTAAACCACAGAGCAATGTATCGTTTGAAGTGGAGCTAGAAAGGGTCAGAGGAATTTTTAATAGAAGGATCAGAAGGAAAATGACTGAGATCGGTTTGGGAGACTTGGCTAGGGAATGAAGAGCAAAAGCGAGAGATGAGATGGGACTCAGTGAAAGAAACGGTGGGCATGCGAGATGAGAGAGAAAGGGAGAAGGGGAGAGACGAGGGATGGGGAGAGAATTGAAAACCAGTGGGACCCACATATAAAAATAAACAGACGTTTGGGTCTGTTAACTGGAGTGGAAAAATTGCTCTCATTCTAAATGATCGTTGTTACATTTGCACCCTCTAAAACTAAATGGTGCCAAATGCTCTTCACGTAAAACTTGATTGTTAAAATTGTACCTTAATCCTTTTTTTTATCATTTATAAATTTGTCCTTTATCATCCAAAACTCACTGTGAGTCAGCATGGAGTCATCCTATGTGGGTAAAAATCGCTCATGTGTCTTCTAACTTAGCATTTTACATAAAATTAAAATAAAAAGACTGTTTTTTTTCCTTGAGATGCTAAGTGGTCTTGGCAGAGCTCAAACCATTAAGCGTGTGTTTTGATTGGCATTTCCACCATGAAATGCTCCTTGAAACATGTGGAACACTGGTTTGATGCTGGTTTGGAGATTTTAGGTTGTTTGAGTGGGCTTTTAACCCAATCAACTTCTGAGAAAAAAGTCAGATGCGTTGAGAAGCTAAGCGTCTATTTGGATCTCCGTTTTGAGGGGAAAATGTGCATGGGAAATTGTAAAACGCAAGTTGAAGAACTATTGGGAGAGAAAAGGTTGTTTGGGTTGGCTTCTTTCTTATCTAGCTTTTGCAGTCAAAGCTCAGCACGGTGAGAAGCTAGAAAAGCCCATCTACAATTACCATTCTCTCTCTTCTCCACTACACAGCATTTGAGGCTCGCTTTTTTACCCTTCTCTCTCTTCTCCTTCTAGCTTATGCAGCAAAAAGAGAGAAGAAAATGATTTTAACAAGGATTTCCTAATTTGTGCACCCATGGCTATTTGTATTTTTATAAATTTAATTTTAAAATTATATAAAATTTAATTTATATTCGTATTTATTCATTAAATATATTTCATAAACTAAAATGAATTTTCAAAATTTTCCCATTAATAAATTTTGTGTGTTAACTCTTTTTATTTTTATAATTTTTATTTTTATTTATTATTTTTCTTAAATTTATCAAATTCTACATGTGAGATATATGCTGTTCTCTCTCTCTGTGCTTCTTGATTTGCCCTGGGCCTCGATTGCTCTGGGAGTTTGCTTTCTGTCTTTGCTTTGCTTGTGTGTTATAGATTCAGATTTCCCATGAATTTGATTAATGTGATTGCAAATTCATTTGGGGCAAGGCAAACCGCACCAGATCAAGCATTGATGTAGTTTTTTTAGTTTCTGTGATAAACCCTTGTCGGTTTATTTCCTTAGTTGTGTGCTTTTAGTTATGCCCCAAAATAAAATTTCTCACCCTGGACTGTTAAATGAGTGTGCTTGTGGCAAAGCGCATTGTAATATATACTAAGGGGAATGAGTACATGCATGTAAGGGGAAAAAAACGGAGGAAAATACACTGCATTTCATCACTTCCATGCATCCTCTTACTAGGAATTTTTGCTGCTTATTTCATCCTCCCTTTACTTTCCAATTATTAATTTTTGAACATAGCAGACATGCCTGATTAACATAACCTGTTTTTATGTTTAGCTGGCTTCCAATGTTAAGTTCTGAGCTTATTGAGAACAATACTAAATTTATCAATCTAACAATCATCATTTTTTTTTCTATTCCCTTTTTCGTTGTCCTTCTCATAAAGTTTTCATTAACATGGAAATCTTTCTTGTGAGGTGGCAGATTTTTTACGAGGAAAAGAAGGAAGAGGAGGCGAAAGAAAAGACACGATGCTACTAATATTTCATAGTAAGAAAGTACTGTTGTAGCAATCAACAATCAAAGCAAGAGAAAGGAAAAGATAAATGCTTAATTAGGCATATCATTCTTTGTAACTTAAATAAGCATATCATTCTTTTTGTATAGGCATTGAGTATTAATAATGATATATTTTGAATTATATTGATTATTAACAACTTGGTTGTAAATGCTATGTCAAATTTTTCAGCAATGGAAAATTGACAAATGAGAGTGCCGAATTGACAAATTAACGTGTCAGTATTGACAAGTAAATGTGCCAAAAATAATAACTCACTTTATATCTGAACATCATACCAGGTTAAAATATATTATGACTAAAATGTATTATATAAGCATATCTAACTTGAAATTATGTGAGATCAAAATATATAACTTGAAATGAGGATATGTCATGACTTTATATTATATTTTTAACTACCAGGAATTGACTAGTGAGTGTTTATATTGATAAGTTAACATGCCAATATTGTCATACGAGTCCATTAACTAGAAATTAAAATAAATATTGTTTATGATAATTTATTATGTTTAGAATAAAAAACATAAAATTACTTAAAATCATAAATATTGTCGATGATATTTTATTATGTTTAGAATGTGCTTGTAATGACAAGGCAAGTGTTGACAAGTGAGAAAGCATGTAATGATGAGTGAGGCTGATTTACTGCCTGTTTGGATTCACATTTTAGCAGTGGTTAAACAGCTTTTAAAACTCAAAAGCACGTTTCACATATTATGAGATATTTGGATAAGCTTTTGTGCTATGTAACTTATAAGCCACAAGCTGGAATAAAAGGCAGAATCGCAGAAGTAGATTTTAAGTGCTTATGAATCGTGCTTTTGGGTTGTGTGCGTTTTGGTTTTTGTTTTTTTCCCCCCTCAATACCCTTGTCTGTGCGTGTACTATTTAATTATATAGTGTGTTTTTTGCTCCTCTTTTTGGCGCTAATCGCCTGTATATTTTTTTTTATTGATACATAAAAGACAGACACTTAAATTGAGGTTGGACTTGATATTTATGCAAAATTTGAATTTGAATTTTCATAATTAGATAGTATTATTTGATTCAAAAATTTTACATTATTTCTAATTTAAATACATTTTATCCATTAAATATAATTTTTTTGTTATTATGATAATTTAAAATTATTATATTTTGTAAATTCATAAAAGTCATACCTATTTTGGTCATTCCGCAATCTAAACTTACTTATCCAACTATAATCTAAACAATTTTCCACTTTACAAACTAACTTTTTAAAAGTCAATCTAAATATAAATCACATTACCTAATCTAACTTTTCTAAAAATCAAATTGAAAATAAGTTACTGTTTTTACCGTTAATCCAAACAAACCCTTAAATGACAAGGGCACTTTACTTTAGAATATATAATTGTCAATTTCAATTGACTTGTTATCATTGCAAACAATTTCACTTGTCTGATAAGTAAGTTATAATCCATTGTGAATATATTGGTTTTGTATGTTGTAATTAGATGTGTTACAATGCAACTTCAATGGAATGAAAATATAAGTCTCTTTTCTAAATCGTTGTACACAACTTTTGGTACTACTTCACTTGGGACAGGTTTGAAAATTTGTATTACTTTATTTTGCCAGACTAAAAATTGCCATTACTTAACATATTTATAAGCAAATGTATTATATAAGTATATGTAACTTGAAATAATTGCATCATAATTTTATATCATATTTTTAACAGTAAGGAATTGACAAATAAAAGTGCCTGTGCTGATGAGATACGATGTTAGTATTAACAAGTGAACGTGTTAGAAATAACTACTCACTTTATAACCAAATGACAAGAGTTAAGGGTCAAAAATACTCATAAAAATATATCAAAAGTTTATTTAACACCATGAACGTTTTTTAGGTTCAAATCTACCAATCAAAGTTTAAAAAGAGTCAATAATATTAGCGCCATTAATGTCCATTCTTTTAGCAGTGGGGCCAACAATTTTTTTAATAAAAGTACCAAAATATCCTAAATTAAAACAAAAAAAAATTAAGGGTAAAAAATATCCATAAACTTATACCAAAAGTTCACCTAAAACCATATAATTTTTACTGAACCAAAATACTCTAATCTTGAAGGGCTATTGCATTAGAGTGTATTAGAAATTATTAATTATAATAAATTTTTATATCCCAATCTTTATAATTAAAAAAATATTATTAATGGTTTTTTTAAAAATTTTCATCTGCAACAAATTTTTTTCTTTTAATAAAAACTAGCCAATTGTTACAGTTATCATATTAACTGTTATGGCTGAAAATATTTTAATAGCATAAATATTATACATAATAATTAAATTTTTTTTGGTAACTTATCATATTTTATATTTTAACATCATTATTACTGATCCCTGAATGTTTTAATTCCAAAGAATTCTTAAATAAATTTAACAAAATAAATATTTATATTTTAATGCTTTGATTAATATTCATTTGATACTTTCATATTTTTAATTCAATTTAAAAAATTTAATTAATTCTCGAATAAAATTATATGAGGATGCTTTAAAGTTTGATTGAAATAAAGAATATGAATCCATATTATAAGGGGGCAGACTTTTTTCTTAGAAGGGAGATGAGCTAAGAAGACCATCAACAGGTTAGAGGTAGATAGTTGTTTTTTTTTCTTTTTATTGGGAGTATTTTGGTACTTTAATTAAAAATAGTGGATCTCACAATTAAAAGTGACTTTAAATTTTCTCAAAGAATTGAATATAAACATTAAAAAATTTAAATTAATTGTTAAATTTGATAACATAGACAGGAGGATAACCACACAACTCAATATGCCATTGGTACAAATAACTTGTTTTTAAAAGATGCTTATAATGTCTTCTAAAAGAAAAGATTGGAGACACAAACAACTTATCTTTAAAAAGTAATTTAATTCAAGCTTAAGCTTTTTTACACGAGTTAGTTTAAATATAAAAATGTATTATAATTAATAACCTCTAGCACACTCTAATGTAGTAGCCCTTCAAGATTGGGAGTATTTTGGTATTTTTATTTAAAATTTTATGGTGTTTAGTGAACTTTTGGTATAAGTTCATAGGTATTTTTTACCCTTAACTATTTTTTTTTGTTTTAATTGCAGATATTTTAGTACTTTCATTAAAAAAGTGGGCCCCACTGCTTGAAAAATGGATGCTAACATTGCTGGCATTATTATCGTTTTTTAAAACTTCAATTGATATATTTGAACCCAAAGAAAGTTCATAATATTGGGTAAGTTTTTGATATATTTTCATAGGTATTTTTTTATCCTTAACTCAAATGACAATTCATATTATTTTAAAATAATTAACTTCTTCAAAATACAACCGTTTTAAATGATCATATATAACTTAAAGAGTATACATTGCGTTCATTGCCTAAAACATAATTAAATTTTCAAATGAAACTCTACAAATCAAATTAATATAATGAAATTTCAAAAACCAACCCAGGGTGCTTGTAATAACAATTGTAGGTACCAACATTAACAAAACTTTCAACATCATAAAAATGACAAGTTAAGGTGCAAGTATTAACAGTTGTCACTGTATATATTAACACCTAATATCAATGTGCACCATATACTTGCTATTAATAATTAAACTAGCTATATTAACAACTATTGTGACATGTATTAATGAGTAAGGGTATCAACAAGGGTAATGAGGTCTTTTTACATTTTTATTAAATTACAATCTCTTACACTTTGGTCTCTTTGGGACTTCTAATTATGAGACCTTTTTGCCGTATTCTTTATTCCTTGGGACCTTATTGAAATTTTCCTAGGTTAATTGTAACCTTAACTACTTTTGTACGTATATAATCCTCAATAGGCCATAGGACTAGATACCTTTCGGCTGCTTTGACTCATCTTTACCTAATTTTGTTCTCTTAGTTCAACCTTAGGTTTCAAGTGAATAATAAATAAATAAATAACAGGATGAAAAGCTAATTTTGAAATAAAATTAAATAAATTATGTATTAAATCATTTTATAACTAAATAATTGATAACTGATTGATTAGCCCATTGGATGAAAATTGAAATTGTAATGACAAAGCTGATGGCACCGCAATATGTACTGAATTGTATTTTTTTTTCCCCTCACCTATTATGTGTTATTTCATCTACCCTTTTTTGGCCAACGCAAAGTTTTTTTTTCTCTCTATATATTTATCCTGTATATGTAAAATTACTTAAAATAAGCCAACCTGCTAGTATTGCCGTGAAACCTCAGGGTGCCAAATTAATATTGAAACCAAATCTCCTATTCCTACAAATGTTGTATTGCATGGGAGACAAAGATCATGTGTTTTTTTTTTTTTAATACACTACTACAGCAGACACTTTTTATTTCTATTCTGGAAGACTTTTTACCTCAAAATTGAGGGGACATAAAAAAAAAAAAACAAAAGAAACATAGTAAGTATCTCACATTTCATCTCTGTTTTGAACAGACAACATGAAAAGTGGATTTGTTGTTATAGTTTATATTTGTTGGACAGCTTCTCTATATGCAGTCGATTTGTTAATTCCAAAATAGGCTGATTAATAATGGAGCTTTGTGCATAAACATTTCAATCAAAGAATGTTACATAGTGGCAGTGAATTGTGACAATTCAAATTGCACAGATTATAAAATTAATATTTTAAGGTTTTGCATCAAGATATGGCGTTACTTCTATATATTCTAGTGGGCAACTTACTCTATCTTTTTTTTTTTAATGGCGGAATTAGCGATGAAAATTCTGTCATTAAAAATTTTGATAGTCACAATCTAAGGTGCAAGCATTGACTAGTAAAAGTGCTTGCAATAACAAATGATAGTGCCTAGATTGACAAGTCGTTTATATTAGAAATTAAAATTTATCCACCACATTATGTATAAAAAAGATTATATGAATATATATATAACTGCACATTATTATATAAGAAAATATGACTTTATATTATATTTTTAGCAGCTCAAAAATGACAACTTAAAATATAAGGATTGACAAGTAAGAGTGTCTGAAATAGCAACTGATACTTCTTGAGAGGAGAAGTCATTTATATCAAAGTTAACTTATCCATTAGATTGTATCTAAAATGGATTATATAAACATATGCAACTCTATATCATAATTGTATAACTTGATATCATATTACATAGGAAAATATAACTTTATATCATACTTTTAGCAATATGGAAATGACAATTTAAAGAGCAAGGATTGATAAGTAAGAGTGCTTGGAAAGACAAGTGGTAGTGTGTGTTATAATAAGTCAATAATATCATAATCTAAATTTTATCCATCAAATTACGAGTATATGTAACTTCATATCTATATCATAATATATTAAGGACCGGAGGTAGTACTACATTATGCACTGAGTTGATCTCAAGAAAACGTCAACGCACTCGCGACTTCACAGCAAATTCCCGATTCCAGCCAAGTTGGCAGCGATTTCTACTCCTTCTGAGTCTACAAGCTAACCGGCACGAAAGGAAGAGATGTGATCATGGAAGCAAGTATTTCTGTTTCGACATTTATATAAAATGCAATAACTTTACATGATGGTCGTTACCAACAAATCGACACATTCTTCTGTTTATTTATATAAAATGCGATAACCTTAAGTGACAATTTTATACTATAGAACTGCCATGTATTTTCTTTTTTATATATATTTATATGTATAAGGGGCACTAGCCCCTTTTACAAAATATATTTCTTAAAAACTTAAAAAAAACCTAAAATCACAAAATATATAAAATAAAACTAAAAAAACACCAAAAAAAAGTTAAAAAAAACTCCCAGTGATTGTAAATTCAACATTCGCGCCAGTTTGACATAGTCTAAGAGGGAAGTGAAAGGTTCAGAAGTGCTTTACGTGACAGTTGTATTTTAAAACCATCATATTTTGTTTTGTAGAAACTTAAATTAATTTCTTCACAACAAAAAGGCGATGGTGTTGAAAGGAAACCGTCACATATTTTTAAATAATGCATGAGTTTCAATTATGACCGTCATGATTTGTTAGCATGATCTCTGCCTCACGATAGGTGACTGTCTTTGTATTTAACTTTTACGCATTGAGCGACATATATTTGAAAATCTATAGTAATGATTTACATGGTTTTTATCCTCTTCATACAAAGTCTAATGTCTCTAAATCTTTTCTATTATTTCAAAAGCATGTTGAAAATTTGTTTAATACCAAGATAAAATTTATACAATATGATAACGAAGGTGAACTTCAAGTATAACATCTTGACTTTTAATCAAGGATTTAGATGTGTTTAGGTTCAAATTAATCATGATCCCGAGGTGTTTAAATGGACGTTTGAAGTGTGGGAATTGATCCGAAGTTAGAATAAGGCTGGTAAATTTTTCATTTGTAATTAATATGTAGAAAATTTGTGGCACTTTTTTAAAAGAATACCATTATCATTTAATGATCAAAGTCCCATGCGCATAGATAAAGATAACCCAATGATGAGAGCCTTTGTCGTTCACCTTGGGGTTCCCAATCAAAAATAAATCCAAGCATTGCAATATAGTGCAAAACTCGGGTCGTTTCACTTTGAAGAACCTTTATTTGAAATCCTAAGCAACTAAGTATCAAAAATAAAAAATTGACTTGAAAAGGGATTGATTTTCTTGTCCTGATTGGCAAAATTTAAAAGGATGCAAAATGAGTAAATAATTTTTGGATTTTTAGTTTATAAAATGGATATGAATGAGAATTAACAAGTGACAGCAAATGGAAAAGCAATCCTCTAGCACAATGATTAAGGCTATCATTACTTCAATTAATTTGGGAGTTAGCTAAATTCAAAAGACTCTAAGGGCCACCTCCTAGACTCGGTTTAATTAGAATAATCAACACCAAGCCACCTTGCATATTAATTATTCACAATTAAACTATTTCAGCACAATTAGCCAAAAAGAAAATCAAAGAAAAGCAATTAACATTTTTAGTCCAATAACCAAGCCACCTTAAATTACCACTAAATGTTCATAATAATTTCAAAACATAGTCTGACCCAGTACAATGTAAAGAAATTAAAGCTAATCACAGCATAATGTTAAATGCTAATCAAAGATTCCAACAACTACAACCAATCTCAATACAAATATAAATCATCACAGTCTATTCAAATATTATAAAATTCATTCTAAGACCTAGAAATCACAATTATAATGAAAGAAGTAAAGATTAAAAGAGTTGAAACTCCCCTTTAAAGCTCTAAGTTCAAGCCATAACCATTGCTCTAGAGAATTGGAAGTCAGCCACGGTTTGTCATAGTGAATGCCACAATCAACATTCTGCTACAAGCTACCATGGAGGAACGCCGAAGAGGAAAAGATATTAGTGACAGTGAGTTATTGGGATCTGACTGCAGCTTCACGTTCTCTGCTTTGCTCCCTCTGGTTCTGTCACTCTCGCCGTCTTCTCTCTGCCACCAGTGAGAAGACGCAGAGAAGATGAATGGAGATGATGATGAATAGTGCCGTCGCTCTCCTTACTGTGCCTCCAGCTCGCTTGCGTCTCTGTGTCTGTTTCGTATCAGCTTGTGTGTCCGCCGTCTCTGCTTCCTCGCGTGTGCGTTGCTCTCCGGATGAAGGTGATGAATTATTGGATATTAGGGGTTATTAGGTGGGTGGGGAGCAAAACGCAACGTTTTGCTCCCTTTTTTTTAATTATTTTTTAATTATTTTTTTCTTTTTTTTAAATTTTTATTTTTATTTTTAAATCTTCCAAAAACCTGCAAATAAAATTCAAGGATAAGGTAGCATTAATTGTCCTCAAAAATCAATTAGTCACAATTAAACCAAAATATATCAATTTTACCCCTATAAAATAATAATTCAAAATAAAACATATTAAATCAATTAACAATCAATTAAGGTCAAGAGGGACTAATTAAGTTGACAAAACCCATATAAAATATATCAAAATATATAAAAATAATTGAGTTTGTCACCCAATAAATAGAAGTATTATTCGAAACAAAAATTTATCATTGAAGACAGCAGGGAATGAGTCCTCATAGAACCAAATCAAAATCATCAAATAGACTTTATATTTGGGACTAAAATTTTCTTAGAAAATAAATGCATATGAATAAGTACTACTTTTCTTGTAAATTCTAACTCGCTTAATTAAAATAAAATTAAAAGGTAACACATCCAAAGTAAAATTTAGAAAAATAAGAGTGCATTTCTTTGCTCACAGTCTCACACACAGTTAATATTCCATTTGATAATTTGTTCGATATTCCTCGACAAACGATAACTGGAGAGAGAAAGGCAGAACAAAGTTGGAAATAACGTAACTGAACAGCATTGTCAATCATTATTGAGATGAATTGTGAGCAAGGGGTATCATAAAAAGAAGTCTCATAGTTAAATAAAAAGGAAGTAAGAGGTATATAGGAAGAAATTGTATTACATGAAGCTTTTTTTTTACTTAGTTATGTGATAATTTAGAGTACTAATTTGAGTTTTATTGGATCCAACGGCCCAAAAAAAAAAAGAACTTGAATAGAAAAGAAAGATAATTCATATTTAATCTAAGCCATGCATATACTGAGAGGTAGGAAAATAGAAGTGAATTATGAAACATGTTGTCTGTATATTATTTTGGCTTAGTTGCCAGTTTTCTACATACCAAATCATTTATTACATCTATTGCTAGGCTTTAAACCAACAATAATTATTCATTTTATTCAACTCTAAATGTCCAAAAAGTATACTGCGAATAGATGATGAAATCTCGTCGCACTAATGGACAATAACCATCGCCGTCTCCTCCTTCCTCAGGAAATCAGCCAAGTTGCCCTATTGACGCCCTTAAGTTAGGTGTCTGCGCCACCCAGTTGGGTACCGTCAACGTCCAACTCGGCAAGAGCCATTGCTGTCCCCATCTTAACGGCCTCGTCGACCTCGAAGCCGCCGCCTGCCTCTGCACGGCCATTAGAGTCAATGTTTTAGGCATCAACCTTAACGTTTCCCATACCTTGAGCACGATTCTCAGCACCTGTGGCAGAAGCGTCCCCAGGGGCTTTCAGTGTGCTTAATTATTCAACAGATATATATGTATCATCACTGTCTCCACTACACTATCCTCATCAAGTTCTATTCTTGGTGACAAATAAATTATATCAACAAAAAGTTTATGGTGACCTATGATTCCCCTTTCTATGAATAAATGTACAATAAAGGACCAATGTTCTAATTTAGGTATAACTGCTATTGAATGAAAAAAGGAGTTTCTCTTTACTGGTAAATAATTATCAATTATTAATATTAACACTAAAATATAAAGTACAAGAAGAAGTGCCAAATACCAACAGGGTTTCTCCAGGTCTGTCGATCTATAATATTTTTTAATCCAGCGAAATTTTCATCGATTCTATTTTTCTATGATTTTTATCTCCGTTGAAGAAACTTTTATTTGCATTATCCGTTATGTGCCAAATACCAACAGGGTTAATAATAGCAAGGTTACATTAAGTGGAATTAATCAACACGTTCTAGACTTTTGGCAAAACAGCATATAGCCAATAAACGGACAAAATTGTGGGAGGAGAGGAGGCGAAAAGAAGGAAATTTAATAAACAAAGAGCATTCTGTTACCTATGTTTGGTATGAGTAGAATGGAAGGGAGGACAAGGAAAGGAAAATTTTAGTGAGTTAGATGTATAGAATTAGAGTCCCTTCGGGGACATCCGATAAGATGTATAGAATTAGAGAATTGAGGTTTTAAAATTTTTATAAAAAGAAGATAAAAGATAAAAGATTAGTAATAAAAATTAATTTATCCTCACTTTTTTAATTTTTTAAATAAAGCTCATTAAAGTTTTTTCTTGCCTCCCTTTCCGCCAAAGGGATAATAATGTTCTAATTATTGTCTTTACCCGTTTTTGAGGAATACAGAACAAATTACAAAATGGAATATTAACTGTGTTAGCAAAGAAATGCACTCTAATTTTTCTAAATTTTTTTTCTAGACGTGTTACCTTTTAATTTTATTTAAACTAAGCGAGTTAGAAACTTAGAATTGACGAGAAAAATAATACTTATTCACATCTATTTTTTGGGAAAATTCTGATGTGCCGAATTTCCTGCATTAATTACCAAATTAATTTCATCAATTGATTATACAGAACTATTTGCATGTACAAATCAATTCCCCAGGTCCTAAATATAAGGTCTATTTGATGATTTTGATTTGGTTCTAAATATGATAACTCATTTTCTGTTGTCTCCAATAATTATTTTTTGTTTCCAATAATACCTCTGTTTATTGGGTTATCTTTATCCATGCGCATTAAACTTTAATCATTAACTGATAATGATATTAAAAAAAAAAAAGTGCCAACCTTAATCTAACACATGATCAGTCCTCCGCAACTTCAAACATCCATTTAAACATGTCAAGATCTTGATTAATTTAAACTCTAAACACATCTAATTTTTTTATTAAAAATCAGGATGTTACATTTGGTGTTGGCCTCCATTATCAGATTGTATAAATTTTAGGGAGAAATAGAGAGAATGACCAATAGGGAGTGATATTTATGAGAGAGGATCATAAAAATTAAAATTATTTAAAAGGACCAAATATTCCAATATAAATCTAAAAATACCATATTGTCCCTATCCAAACCTCTTATGTCTTCTATATTCCCTCCTACATTTTATTCTTAAAATTAATACGAATTAATAAATTTTACTAAATTAAACCTGATTTCTCTTAAAGCTTACAACCTGTGCAAAAATTAATTCAAAAATATGCAGACATTGTTCAGTGATGTGAAAATTAAAATTTTGAAAAAATTAGAAAATAAAAGTTATATAATTTTATTATAATTTATATTATTATATAATTTATTATATACACAATTTTTACAAAATAAAAAATTTGTATAATTAATTTTTTATTTTATGAGAAATTTATTTCAGATTTAAAATAACAAATTATTATAATTTTATAAGACCCCTCCTCAAAATCATTTAACAAAAGCGACGTAATTATATGATATATTAATATAAATAAAATATAAGATATAAAAATTAAAATTAACAAATATAAAAGAAGTTGTATTTCACTTAAACGAATTACAACAAGGGGATATATCCCAAACAAATATAAACTAATTTTTTGTGCATATATGATTTTGGAGCGAATTAAGCATCAAGTACTATTATTGCAGGTCAAATTATTTGAGATATTATGGAGTTATTGATATATTACCTCTAGTCCTTAATATAAGAGTTCATTTGTCTTTTATTTTAATCCTAAATATAAGACTTCAATCCCTTTTGTCTCACATATTTATCTATTTTTTTTTAAGATAGTCCTTGTAATAATAGTAGTTCTAGCCAATACATTTGATTGACAAAGATATTTTAGAAAAGACAACACATATTTATTACAAATAATTAACTTAACTAATTTTTTAATCTACTCAAATTAGTCAACTAGCTTTTATATTAAAAATCAGATGTAGTATTAATTAATATAATTGTGTGTGTATATATGAGTGTGTGTATCTACTTCCTCCAATGCCATCATCTTTTACTCTTCTTTAACTTCTTCCTGCCTAGCTATTACATCCTTAAGAATGGGTAACTGTTGACACCTCTGGTCCTTCATCATTCATCGTAGCAACTTATGATCCCATGTGCGTGTACATCAATCTTTATTGTTTATACCCATGCGTTCTTCTATTAGGGGTGATTTCAAGTACTGGGCTGTGACGTAATTTTGTGACTTGTTTGATATTGCTTGCTTAGATGATTGACAAATATTCATTCCTTGTCCATATTCTCCATCTAGCATAAATCATTTAGAAGAAAATGCCAAAAATCAATGCGCAACAATATTCGGTATATACGGTACGAACCACCCAAACAGCTGAGAACATTTTTAAACAATAAAAAAGAAAAAATAAAAAAACTACTAACCTTAACAAGAATCCCGAAATGAGTCACAAACCAGCTAGTAACACAAGAGCTCTCACAAATGTACAAATGCACAGATTAGATCGACTAGCAGAAAAACAATACAATAACCAACCACATTTCAAAAGAAGAAAAAGGAAAAAAGGGGCAAATAAATGAGTAGCTTAAAACTTACAACACAAAAATAATGGAGAAAGATGATCAAAGAAGTTAACGATAGAGAACAAAAGGTGAGCCATAAATCTTCCCTAGAAAAAAAGACACGAAACTCCATCGTTAAAACCACTTCATTGACGGTTCGGATAATTCATTCAATGGCAAACGAAGGTTTGTTTGGCCGGAATGGTGGGGTTACTTCTTAAACCTAGCGACATGCATTTTTGTTTAAACTTTACGTGACGGTTTACTTTAAACAACCGCTACATATTATGACTATCCTTTTAAATGAAGTGCAACAAATTTAGTGATGATAATCCTTAGATGACCGACAAGTATTTCTGTTTCGACACTTATATAAAATGCAATAACTTTACATGATGGTCGTTACCAACAAATCGACACATTCTTCTGTTTATTTATATTAAATGCGATAACCTTAAGTGACAATTTTATACTATAGAACTGCCATGTTTTTTTCTTTTTTATATATATTTATATGTATAAGGGGCACTAGCCTCTTTTACAAAATATATTTCTTAAAAACTTAAAAAAAAAAACCTAAAAAATTTATAAAAAAAAACCTAAAATCCCAAAATATATAAAATAAAACTAAAAAAACACCCAAAAAAAGTTTTAAAAAACTCCCAGTGATTGTAAATTCAACATTCGCGCCAGTTTGACATAGTCTAAGAGGGAAGTGAAAGGTTCAGACGTGCTTTACGTGACAGTTGTATTTTAAAACCATCATATTTTGTTTTGTAGAAACTTAAATTAATTTCTTCACAACAAAAAGGCGATGGTGTTGAAAGGAAACCGTCACATATTTTTAAATAATGCATGAGTTTCAATTATGACCGTCATGATTTGTTAGCATGATCTCCGCCTCACGATAGGTGACTGTCTTTGTATTTAACTGTTACGCATTGAGCGACATATATTTGAAAATCTATAGTAATGATTTACATGGTTTTTATCCTCTTCATACAAAGTCTAATGTCTCTAAATCTTTTCTATTATTTCAAAAGCATGTTGAAAATTTGTTTAATACCAAGATAAAATTTATACAATATGATAATGAAGGTGAACTTCAAGTATAACATCTTGATTTTTAATCAAGGATTTATATGTGTTTAGGTTTAAATTAATCATGATCCCGAGGTGTTTAAATGGATGTTTGAAGTGTGGGAATTGATCCGAAGTTAGAATAAGGTTGGTAAATTTTTTATTTGTAATTAATATGTAGAAAATTTGTGTCACTTTTTTAAAAGAATACCATTATCATTTAATGATCAAAGTCCCATGCGCATAGATAAAGATAACCCAATAAATAGAAGTATTATTCGAAACAAAAATTTATCATTGAAGACAGCAGGGAATGAGTCCTCATAGTTAGAACCAAATCAAAATCATCAAATAGACTTTATATTTAGGACTAAAATTTTCTTAAAAAATAAACGCATATGAATAAGTACTACTTTTCTTGTAAATTCTAACCCGCTTAATTAAAATAAAATTAAAAGGTAACACATCCAAAATAAAATTTAGAAAAATAAGAGTGTATTTCTTTGCTCACAGTCTCACACAGTTAATATTCCATTTGATAATTTGTTCTATATTCCTCGACAACAGGTAAAGACAATAAATGGAGAGAAAGGCAGAACAAAGTTGGAAATAACGTAACTGAACAGCATTGTCAATCATTATTGAGATGAATTGTGAGCAAGGGGTATCATAAAAAGAAGTCTCATATTTAAATAAGAAGGAAGAAAGAGGTATATAGGAAGAAATTGTATTACATGAAGCTTTTTTTTACTTAGTTATGTGATAATTTAGAGTACTAATTTGAGTTTTATGTGATATTGGAAAGAACTTGAATAGAAAAGAAAGATAATTCATATTTAATCTAAGCCATGCATACACTGAGAGGTAGGAAAATAGAAGTGAATTATGAAACATGTTGTCTGTATATTATTTTGGCTTAGTTGCCAGTTTTCTACATACCAAATCATTTATTACATCTATTGCTAGGCTTTAAACCAACAATAATTATTCATTTTATTCAACTCTAAATGTCCAAAAAGTATACTGCGAATAAATCACGAAATCTCGTCGCACTAATGGCGAAAATGGCACACAATTTGACTTTTATAATTGTCGCCAATAGTCTAAGAAGCACTAATAAGAAGTCAACACAACCTTCCTTCTATATTTCCATATTCATGTGAATGACTTAAGATCATATCATTTTAAAGAAGAAAACCCGCCATTATTATCCTCCAAATCTCTACAGAGAATGACAACTCTAATGAATGAGTGAGGATATTTGTGTCTTTTTTGTTTTTTTACAAGTGAGGATATTTGTGTCCCTGTCGAGTCGGAATCATAAAGGTTAAGTACTCCCAACAAGTGCGCTTATCGAGATTTAAACTTATGTTGTTGTAAATTGATAATTAAGGAATATATCGTTGTAAATGTGACGAATTTTATAACCATAAATATCTGTGTGGCTTTTTAGCCATAAAATCTACTTTTATTATGATAAAGACTTTGAATGTCTTTTTTTTTTTCCTGGGTTGCGTCTCTATATCAAGCATAAGTGTTATAGTTACACAGTTTTGCATTTTGTAAAATAAAGACAAATCTATGGTATTGGAACATTCAAATAATCTTAACCGTACCTTTGATTACAAAAAAAAAATATCCAAATCATCCGCCAAATTTATTCAATTATATCACCTTGTTAGGCAATTTACATCAAAGATGTAGGCAAAAAAAGAACATGCACTAGACATTTTAAGTCACTGCTACAATAATTTCAGAATCCGACTCAGCTTTACATTAAAAAAAAAAACATAAAGAGGGATGCTCTCTCCTATAAAAGCCCCATCATATCTCACAAAACTCCTCACCGTTCAAAAGCCAAGTATCACAAAAATCCAAGTGACAAAAACTAGAAGAATGGCTTCCAAGTCTGCCCTTGTCCTCTGTGTCGTCAACCCCCTCTTCTTCACAATGGTAACCTCCACCTATGCGCAATTACCATCGCCATCTCCTCCTTCCTCAGGAAATCAGCCGAGTTGCCCTATGGACGCCCTTAAGTTAGGTGTTTGCGCCAACATGTTGGGTACCGTCAACGTCCAACTCGGCAAGAGCGATTGCTGTCCCCATCTTAACGGCCTCGTTGACCTCGAAGCCGCCGCCTGCCTCTGCACGGCCATTAGAGCCAATGTTTTAGGCATCAAAGACAGAATTAAGAACGACAATCTGTAGGGAGCAAGAATATGTTGATGGCACGATAAATAATGATGTGCTGTAGGGTTGCTTTTATATATACGCAGAGAAGTACATGTAGTTGACGGTGAGAGTCTGTCAACAGATCTTAGAGAGATTTTAGGAGTGATTCGTGGGAAGTTACAGATACAAAGATTACATCATAACTAATAGATCATAACAAACAGATAGTTCCAGATTATTCTCTAACACGCCCCCTCAAACGAGAGGGTGTAACTAGCAGCCCGAGTTTGCTGTGAAAACGTTGGAACTGAGACCATGGCAGAGGCTTCGTTAGACTGTCAGCCACTTGGTGTGTAGTAGGGAGACGTATCGAACATCGATGAGATTGGACAACACCATGTCGCAAATAAAATGCACGTCGATCTCGATATGTTTACTTCTCAAATGATGAACGGGATTTCCAGCTACAGCTCGAGCACTCTGACTTATTATCACACCACACACATGGAGGGCCGTTTTTAAGAAGAGGCCAAGCTCAGATAGCAGGGAACGATCCATTTGACTTCGGCAGCTCTCCGTCGCTAAGGCTCTGTACTCAGACTCTGTGCTTGACCTTGCCACAGCTTGTTGCTTTCAGAGAGGACCATGAGACTAGCGTGCCACCTAAATAAGTGCATAAGTCTGCCACAGACTTTCTGTCATCGGTGTCCGTAGCCCCATCTACGTCAGTGTACACGTAGAGCTGTAATGACTTGAAGGGTTTTAAGTGAAGGCTGAGGC